CCCCACCCGTGCCCAGGGTCCAGGCGGGCTCCTAGCAGTAGCGGAGGGAAGAGAATTCTTCCTGCCCACCTCCCCTGCCATCTCCCCCATCCTGGGCGCCTCACAGGAGTCGCTCTCCTCTCCGGGCTGAGGCAGACCCAAGAGGCCGGTCATCACAGGGACTTGGCTCCCCCTCTGCTACAGGGCCCTTGCTCCAGGGTGACACACAGCAGGAGTCAGACAGTCAGGGAAGGGAGGCATGAGTCACGGTTTCAGTTCTTCCTGCCCACCTCCCCTGCCATCTCCCCCATCCTGGGCGCCTCACAGGAGTCGCTCTCCTCTCCGGGCTGAGGCAGACCCAAGAGGCCGGTCATCACAGGGACTTGGCTCCCCCTCTGCTACAGGGCCCTTGCTCCAGGGTGACACACAGCAGGAGTCAGACAGTCAGGGAAGGGAGGCATGAGTCACGGTTTCAGACTGGATAGGGAGACAAGCCAGCAGCTGCTCTGTTGGCCCCACGGGGGCAGGGATTTCGACCAGAAGAGGCAGCCACACACCTTTCCAAAGGAGAGGGGAAGTAACCACCTTGCACCGATACTCTGAGTCACGTGGGCCAGGAGAGCCCTGCTGCCTGCTCCCCCTCAGCCAGGGACAGACCCATGGGCAAGCCTGCGCCGGCAGGAAGCTGGCCCATCTCTCACCCGGCTGACGCCTTGCGTCCGAGTCAGGGCAGCGGCACCAGATTTCGGGGGCGACAGCACCTTGCTGCAGACGGATCCGGTCTGCTCGAGATCTTGCTGTTCCTGCAAGGGCTTGGCAAAAACCCGTCTGAGCCCCGTTCGTTCTCCCCAGGAACGACACCACAGTCGAGGGAGTGGAGTCCGACCCAGGGCCTGGCCGTGCATTCGGACGCACCACAGTCGAGGGAGAGGAGTCCGACCCAGGGCCTGGCCGTGCATTCGGACACACCAATGCAGGGACAGAATTCAAAGGAGCCCAAACCAAGCTGGAAGTGTTGCCTCGTAGAGTTACAACAGGGGGACGCAGGAAACCTGGTGTCTTCTGTTCCCAGCTCTCCCACTGAATTTGGACAAGTCACTCCACTTATGTACCTCAGTTTCCCCACCTATAAAGCTGTCTGACCACCCAACATTTAACTGCACCAGTTTAGGGCTATGCAAGTCTACTAGATGCCTGAAATCTGCATGAAGCTAGCCCACAGACATGCCTGCTCTTCGTTCGCTATCTAGTCCCCCGTGACCATCCCAGGTCCCTTGTAAGGGCGTTGTTCTCTTGGCCATCTGTCATTTTAAAGCTATAAAGTTGTATTTACTGGTTAGGTTACCATGTTAATGGCTTGTGCATAATGCATGCTTATGTGGTAGTTTAAAAAAAAAAGAGAAACAAAGCTAGAACCACTAATGGAAGCTACACAAGGCTATTGAC